TTAGAAGAAAAATGTTTGTAGGACAACAGGACAGAAGTCTTTCTACATCTTACAAACTGATCTAGTTACAGTGTATCAGAACTAGGGAGGGAGCAGGACAGGGGCATCTGGCTTAAAGACGCAAGAAGGAGTCAAGGCCAAAGTAGTTTCTTCTCTAACTAACACTTAAAAACTGGCTAGGAGAGTAGTGTAAAGGAACTTATTGCCAAGCCTGTGTTCCACCCCCAGGATCCATATCCACATGGTAGAAGGAAAGAACTGACTCTCACAGGTTGTCCTCTGACCTCCATGTGTGCACTGCTGTGGCATACACTCACCATCACACATCAATAAATAGAATGATTTTAAAATTAAACACACGTACAAAACAAGCAAACTGGTTACATTATGACCACAGAGCCCATGCCTATAATCCCAGCACTAGACAGGTAGAAGCAGAAGGATCATTACAAGTTCAAGGCCAATATGGTCTGCATAGTGTGTTTCATGTTAGCCAGGGCTAAAAAATGAGAATATATTTCAAACTAAAACAAAAATCTAGTTATAGATGGTGAAGTTATAGATAGTTATAGAGGTGAAGAATTATGTTATAAAACACAAACAAATGTTATCTTACATACACAACTGTTTTTTTTAACAATACCTATTACAACTGTTGGATCTAATTCACTAGCCCATAGATACTAAAGGTCGAAGATCTGCTTTCAACACTTAATCTATTGACTAAATACTGAAGAGAGTGGATGGAGGGACTTAAGGAAAGAAGGAGGGAAAGAGGGAGGTAAGGGAAGTCATATCCTTGCTATACATTTACTCAACAAGGTCTTCTTAGTGAGACTAGGTGAGCAGAACAAGCAGTTCTCCACTTTCCAGGGTGCTGCAGAGAGCAAGCCATTCTCAGAACTACCCAAAGCTCACTGGTCCAAGAACTGGATAAAAGCTCCAGGCGTTGGCATCAGCACCCTCTGCTGGCTAACCTGGAAAGTACATTCAATTGACCTGAATGCTTAGGAGGGCAGAGAAGAAGTGGAGGTAAAAGGTTGGGTAGAGAAAAAATCAAATGATCTGGGCCTACAGAAGTGAGAAAACACCACCAATGAAAACAGTGACAGTTTCTTTAACGTACTAGACTCCTAGAGTACTTACTGAGTGCTAACAGCTGATTCTAACTGAGAAAAAAAGGTTATATATACATACTACAGATGGTGAACTTGCTAGCAGTCCCAGGTAAAAGCTGAAGGATGAAGCATTCTGAGCACTTAGAAAATGTTAAAGTAGCATCCCTGTCCCCATCACGAGAAATGTTTCCATGACAAGCTAAGTTAGAACAGACTTCCTTACTGGAGTACAAAGTAGATAAATGGAGCAGGCCAGGATGCCTGAAGTTCCAGTACATATATGAAACTATTAGGTCTGATAATGGAAGGTAGCACACAATCTGTTGAAGCATTAGGAGTACCTCCAAGTTGTCTAGCCTAAAGGCAGTCTGATAGAAATATTTCATCATGGTGCCCAACTTGTAATCTAATAGTTTACAAGGAAAACTCTAAGCTTCCCCGCCCCAAGCTGTACTCTAAATCAGCTGATGTCACCTTCACAGCCAGGAACTCTCTCTCAAAAGTTTATTTTGTTTTGTTATTAGGAAAGGTATTAACAACATGAGAAATAGCTCCATCCATGACAAGTCAAGCCAGACTATTGTATTTCCTTTTTGGAATACAGAACAGGTAAATGTAGCAGGTCTGAACACCTAATTCAAGTATCCAGGTTGGCTTAGAACTTACCATAGAGCTTGAGCTGGTCTCAAACTCATGGAAACCATCCTGTCTTACCCTTCCAAAGTGCTGGGATTACAGACATGCACTACCATACTAGGCTTGTATTTGGCTGGGGAGATGGCTCAGTAAATAAAGTGTTTGCTATGCAAGCATGAGGACCTGAGTTCAGAGCCCCAATATCCATATAAAAGCTAGGCATGGTAGGGGAGATGAAAGAAATACATGGATGCACAGAGCTTGCTGTCCAGCCAGTCTAGTCAATCAATGAGCTTCAGGCCAACCAATGAAAGACCCTGTAAAATATAACCAGTGAGTGATGAAGATAACTGACTTCTGACCTTCACAGGCACATATGGGTGAATGCACCTGCATATACCCATGAAGACACCCCCCCCTCAAAATAGGCTAGAAAATTTAGACATTATACTTGAGTTTTTCATATCCAAAAAGAACATGTATTACTTACAATTCAAATGCTTCAATTCTTTCCTTCAGCTCTGCTTCTCTACCTCTAAGCAAATCTATGTCATTTAGTAGAAGTTGTCTTTGAGCATAAATTTCTTTCGTTTCAATCTGCATAGGAAAGCACTTATTTTTAGCAAGCAAGCAAAATAAAATAAAAACACTGGAAGTCAGATGTTGCTTCCTAAACTCTAGAGCACAATGAAACTGACAAATATTTAGAGTAACAATTTCTCTTTGCAGAAATGTCAATCAAGATTTACTTTTTAAATCTGTATTATATTTGCAATGAATGGTAAACTACACTGTGCCTAACATCCCTAGTCTAGTTCTTTAACACCCCTCCTATTTCCTTACTAAAATTTGATAAGTTCTTCAGCAGGAAAACTTTAAACATGTACAGTCAGTAATGAATAGAATCTCCATGGCGATTGAAGATGGTTCCTAAATGTTTCAGTTAGCGGGCTCAGGTGAACTCCCTAGTGAATAGGCTGGGTCATCCTATCACAAGGCAGAAAAGTTGTCACAATTTGGTTGAGAGAGAGAGAAACAATCTCATGAGGATGTAATGATCTCACATTTTGAAAACTTTCTGACAACTCTGGATGCACACTGAAAAGAGTACTGCAAGTCCTATTTGGCTGAAGACATGCTCTTAGCAAGCAAACAGGTTTTCCTGAAGGAAATCTCTGCCTGAAATGTGACTAGGCTACTCTGAACACAGCCTCTCAGACCCTACTCCTGGACCACTCTGAAACTGCCATGTATCCTTATTTCCCCTAGGATGGGGGCCACTCACCTTCTTCCCTGTTTCTCTTTGCCCTCTTCACCCCCTAGCAGAGCCCCAAGATCTTTAATTCTTGAGGCTGCCTTTCGCAAATTAAATTAAGCTTGGCAAACAACATTCCTCAACCACTGCTACTGTTACACCCTCATGGAAAGGGATGAACAGATGGCTCAGAAATTATCAATCCTCCCCAAAGCCAGATCAGAGAAACCTCTTGTCCAAGCACATGGTTTGGTTTTCACTGTTAGGCTGCTGCCTAAGCTGGGTATTGCAATGGTATCATCCTCTCTGCATTAAAGAGCTGCTCCCCGTCATCCATAGCAACTATTTACCCCCAGCCTCTCCTAAAACCCACTCTCCAATTTGCCTGACAAGATACATGCTGTTTGCTGAGTGGCTCCTAATCACAATATGGAATTCTCTCCATTTCTTTCTTTTCTGCCCCACAGAACAAAGTCTACATGAGCTTGTCTGAACTCACCCTTCTCTTTGCACTCTTGACAATAGTTATAACTGTTCCTCCAGAGTTGTCCTTGCTGGATCTTAAATGAAGCCTACTAACACCAGCAGGACACAGCCACCCAGTAAATTATTCCCAAATTATTACCTCTCGGTGTTTTTTAATTCTTTCCAGGGTGTTCTTTTCCTGAGAAATGAGGGCTTCATTTTTTGCTTGATAAATTCTTTCAAATTCATTCCGGAACTCAGCCAATTCCTTTTCATACTTTCTTTTCTCTTCCATCTTAACTTTTGTTATTTCAGCTTCTCTAAAATACTTCAACTATGAATTGAGTACAAAAATTGAAAATAGTAAAAAAAAAACTCATTAGGTTTTAATAATAATGTTCTGTCCAAATACATCTTTAATCCATCTTTAGTGTTATCTTTATTGTCCTATAGGATTCGGTCAAAAGTGTGAAAAGATGCCACCAATGGTGATTTTAAAATGTGCGTATCAGGCTCTTCCTTCCCCCTCCACCAGCCTGACCCCTACCGAGATGAGTGTACCCTCTGCTCCTGCCCTATCCCTGCCCAACATCCCATTCACCCAGGATCTCTCTGGGCCTGCACCTGCTTAGAGTAGACCCGCCCAGGCAGGAAGGAGCTCCCTGAGTCTGGAAACACCTCACTTTTCCTTCTCCCTCGGCCACCGGCCGGACCCCTACCGAGTGAGGAAACTACCAGGATAGGCAAGACTATCCAGAGCTGCAGACTGAAGTCTTGGCCCACACACACCACCAGGTGACAAGAGGAGATAGAGAGACCCCACCTACACCCACTGGAAGAATACATGGGAAGAAGACAGAATAAGAACACACTCAACAACAGAAAGACCAATGCGACACCACCAGAATCTAGGGACTCCACACCAGCAAGATCTGAAAAGCCCAACACAGAGGATGAAGAAGAGATGGACCTCAAAAAGTATCTTAGGAAGATGATAGAGACCTTTAAAGAGGAAACAAGAAAATCCCTTAAAGAAATAGAAGAAGAAACAAGCAAAAAATTACATGAAATGGAGGAAAAGACAAACCAAAAAATTCAAGAAATAAACAAATCTCATACAGAATCTAAAGAAAGCCAAGAGAAAACAACCAAACAAGTGAAGGAAGCACTGGAAACAGTTCAAGGCATGAAAGCTAAAATAGAAACAATAAAGAAAACACAGAATGAGGGGATGCTGGAAATAGAAAGGCTGGATAAACGATCAGGAACTAAAGATGAGAGTATAACCAATAGAATTCAAGAGATGGAAGAGAGAATCTCAGTTGTTGAAGACTCGCTAGAGGATATACAGTCATTGACCAAAGAAAATCTCAAGTCCAACAAATCCCTAACACAAAATATCCAGGAAATATGGGACACTGTGAAAAGGCCGAACCTAAGAATAATAGGTATAGAAGAAGGTGAAGAAATACAGCTCAAAGGTACAGAAAACGCTCCTCTTCACCTTTCCTTTGCCATCATGCATCGTACGCCTGAGTTGGCTTCTCACCATGTCTTCTCACAAGACTTTCAGAATCAAGCGATTCCTGGCCAAGAAACAAAAGCAAAATCGTCCTATTCCTCAGTGGATTTGGATGAAAACTGGTAACAAAATCAGGTACAACTCCAAGAGAAGACACTGGAGGAGAACCAAGCTGGGCCTGTAAGGATTCACACAATCAATGGCAAGACTTGAGAGTTTGTACTGAATCACGGTCAATGGTCAACGCATTGTATGTTGCCAGATGGAGTTCAACATTTTAAATCTAAAGACTTGGTCATGTTTAAGCTGGGAATAAGTCTAGTAATAAAAAATTTAGAGCCTTTCAAACTGCAAAAAAAGGTACAGAAAACATATTCAACAAAATCATAGAAGAAAACTTCCACAACCTACAGAAGGATATGCCTATGAAAGTACAAGAAGCTTACAGAACACCAAACAGACTGGACCACAAAAAGCAGCCCCCCCACACACACATAATCAAAACACCAAACCTACAGAATAAAGAGAAAAATATTAAGAGCAGCAAAGAAAAGAGGCCAAGTAACATATAAAGGAAGACCTATCAGAATCACACCTGACTTCTCAATGGAAACTTTGAAAGCCAGATGATCTACAAACTCTGAAAGCCAGAAGATCTTGGATAGATACCCTACAAGCACTAAGGGAGCATGGATGTCAACCCAGACTACTGTACCCAGCAAAACTTTCAATCACTATAGATGGAGAAAACAAGATATTCCATGACAAAA